GGGGACATAAGAGTGTAAGCTCCTCTGTACAGAGACTGATGTGACTGGGGGGAGGGGACATTAGAGTGTAAGCTCTTCTGTACAGAGACTGATGTGACTGTGGGGGAGGGGACATTAGAGTGTAAGCTCCTCTGGTGAATGGTGTCCCCTGTATCCGGCTCCTCTGACGCTCATACCCTCCTATCTGCAGCCGGCACGAAGCTCATGAATTCGTCGATGTGGCTCACGTACAGCCAGGTGGAGTAGAGTTGGACCGGCGATTGCACCTGCTGGGCCCTCAGGAACTCTCGGAGTGCTTTGTGCATCTGCAGTTTCGGGCTGCCAAGAGAAGAAGGAGATGAGATGAAGGACGAGAATTCTGTGAGACGCAATAAACACATTTGAGAAAATGTGATAATAATATAACAATGGGGGGGGGGGGTTGGTTTGGGGGACAGGGGGGGGGTTGATTTTGGGTCACAGCTGCCGCATGCTGCATGGAGGAGAAGACAAAGGACCATGCTGGGGGGTCCAGGATGACAGGAGGAGCTCGGTTCTGGTTTCAGCTGCACGGGTTGCTGACTGCACGCCTCCAGATTATTATGGCGCGGGGGAGTTCAACCCAGACGCACCCATTCATTATGCCCGAGCTATTTTTATGACCGTGTTCATTGTTTTACAAGCAATAACCTGTCCAACAAATGAACACTGGGAACCCAGCAATGTTTTACTGCTGCATGAAAGGTGTTTTATTACCCAGTAATGAGAATAAAGTATATATATATATATATGACCACACAGACACACTGTGTATATATATATATATATACACACAGACACACATATGTCATATTTCCTATGCTCAGAGCAGAGATCTCTAATTGTGGATGGACTGATCCCTTTAAGGACCATATAGAGTGAAGTCTCACTGCTATTACTGCATTCTCTCTAATGGGATAGGGGGGAGGGGCACGTACTTGCTATAAGATTGGAAACATCAAATTTGGGTTCCGGTTTGCCTGTCCTGAGCCACCCCAGCAAAAGGATGGTCCCAAAAAGCATCTGTGGTGCTGATACCTTGTGGCGGGGGGGATGAGTGATGGCTCAGGCTACGGGGAGATCAGAAGACCATATGTTTCTAGTGGTATATTGGAGTAGAGGGGCTCCCCAGGACTGAGTGTGAGGTGGACCCAATACATGGCTCTTCCAGGTCTCTGACCTCCACCCGATAAGCCTGCGTGGAATCGTCCTGTAAAGAAGTGGGTTGGATTAGTCCTCGCGCAGGAGAGGTGGGCGGGGCACTTACTTTTTCAGGCTGCCACCATAGAGGATCCTTCCCAGGGGGTAGTTCTTCCCGTTGGCTGTCACGGGAGGGCTGACTTCCAGATTTCCAAAGGCGTCCAGGGTGCCGACCTCATCCTGATTTTTTATTTTCCTTGTCACGTAACCGAAATCTGGTCCCTGAAGGAGGAGGAAGGATTGGGGTGATGCAAAAACAGTATGGCCACTTAAAAAGCTTCAGGTTGCAGCCAAGGGCAGTTGCCGTCCCAGGCTCAGTCTGAATGGACTTACAGTATTAAAGAGGACCAGTAGTTAAAGATCTATGCTCAACCTTATGATACTTCATAGTTCCTGCCACGCAGATCTCTCACGCTGTCTTGTTCCCTCTCCTCTCCAGAATTTGCATGGTAATATTTATCGCTCTGAACCTTCTTACCGCAGAGGAACCCTTCAAATCATTTTCAGGTCTTGGAAAGTCCTTGCTAAAACCGATTCATTAATGGCCAGTGAGCAGAATGTCCCTTAGGTTGGTGGTTATTGGGAAGAATGTCCCTTAGGTTGGTGGTTATTGGGAAGAATGTCCCTTCTAGTGGTGGCCATTGGGAAGAATGTCCCTTCTAGTGGTGGTCATTGGGAAGAATGTCCCTTCTAGTGGTGGCTATTGGGAAGAATGTCCCTTTTAGTGGTGGCCATTGGGAAGAATGTCCCTTCTAGTGGTGGCCATTGGGAAGAATGTCCCTTCTAGTGGTGGCTATTGGGAAGAATGTCCCTTTTAGTGGTGGCCATTTGGAAGAATGTCCCTTCTAGTGGTGGCCATTGGGAAGAATGTCCCTTCTAGTGGTGGCCATTGGGAAGAATGTCCCTTAGGTTGGTGGTTATTGGGAAGAATGTCCCTTCTAGTGGTGGCCATTGGGAAGAATGTCCCTTCTAGTGGTGGCCATTGGGAAGAATGTCCCTTCTAGTGGTGGCTATTGGGAAGAATGTCCCTTTTAGTGGTGGCCATTTGGAAGAATGTCCCTTCTAGTGGTGGCCATTGGGAAGAATGTCCCTTCTAGTGGTGGCTATTGGGAAGAATGTCCCTTTTAGTGGTGGCCATTTGGAAGAATGTCCCTTCTAGTGGTGGCCATTGGGAAGAATGTCCCTTCTAGTGGTGGCCATTGGGAAGAATGTCCCTTATAGTGGTGGCCATTGGGAAGAATGTCCCTTCTAGTGGTGGCCATTGGGAAGAATGTCCCTTCTAGTGGTGGCCATTGGGAAGAATGTCCCTTCTAGTGGTGGCCATTGGGAAGAATGTCCCTTCTAGTGGTGGCCATTGGGAAGAATGTCCCTTCTAGTGGTGGCCATTGGGAAGAATGTCCCTTCTAGTGGTGGCCATTGGGAAGAATGTCCCTTCTAGTGGTGGCCATTGGGAAGAATGTCCCTTCTAGTGGTGGCCATTTGGAAGAATGTCCCTTCTAGTGGTGGCCATTGGGAAGAATGTCCCTTCTAGTGGTGGCCCTTGGGAAGAATGTCCCTTCTAGTGGTGGCCCTTGGGAAGAATGTCCCTTCTAGTGGTGGCCATTGGGAAGAATGTCCCTTCTAGTGGTGGCCATTGGGAAGAATGTCCCTTTTAGTGGTGGCCATTTGGAAGAATGTCCCTTCTAGTGGTGGCCATTGGGAAGAATGTCCCTTTTAGTGGTGGCCATTGGGAAGAATGTCCCTTCTAGTGGTGGCCATTGGGAAGAATGTCCCTTCTAGTGGTGGCCATTGGGAAGAATGTCCCTTCTAGTGGTGGCCATTGGGAAGAATGTCCCTTCTAGTGGTGGCCATTGGGAAGAATGTCCCTTCTAGTGGTGGCCATTGGGAAGAATGTCCCTTCTAGTGGTGGCCATTGGGAAGAATGTCCCTTCTAGTGGTGGCCATTGGGAAGAATGTCCCTTCTAGTGGTGGCCATTGGGAAGAATGTCCCTTCTAGTGGTGGCCATTGGGAAGAATGTCCCTTCTAGTGGTGGCCATTGGGAAGAATGTCCCTTCTAGTGGTGGCCATTGGGAAGAATGTCCCTTCTAGTGGTGGCCATTTGGAAGAATGTCCCTTTTAGTGGTGGCCATTGGGAAGAATGTCCCTTCTAGTGGTGGCCCTTGGGAAGAATGTCCCTTTTAGTGGTGGCCATTGGGAAGAATGTCCCTTCTAGTGGTGGCCATTGGGAAGAATGTCCCTTCTAGTGGTGGCCATTGGGAAGAATGTCCCTTCTAGTGGTGGCCATTGGGAAGAATGTCCCTTTTAGTGGTGGCCATTTGGAAGAATGTCCCTTCTAGTGGTGGCCATTGGGAAGAATGTCCCTTCTAGTGGTGGCCATTGGGAAGAATGTCCCTTCTAGTGGTGGCCCTTGGGAAGAATGTCCCTTCTAGTGGTGGCCATTGGGAAGAATGTCCCTTCTAGTGGTGGCCATTGGGAAGAATGTCCCTTTTAGTGGTGGCCATTGGGAAGAATGTCCCTTCTAGTGGTGGCCATTGGGAAGAATGTCCCTTCTAGTGGTGGCCATTGGGAAGAATGTCCCTTCTAGTGGTGGCCATTGGGAAGAATGTCCCTTCTAGTGGTGGCCATTGGGAAGAATGTCCCTTCTAGTGGTGGCCATTGGGAAGAATGTCCCTTCTAGTGGTGGCCATTGGGAAGAATGTCCCTTCTAGTGGTGGCCATTGGGAAGAATGTCCCTTCTAGTGGTGGCCATTGGGAAGAATGTCCCTTCTAGTGGTGGCCATTGGGAAGAATGTCCCTTCTAGTGGTGGCCATTGGGAAGAATGTCCCTTCTAGTGGTGGCCATTGGGAAGAATGTCCCTTCTAGTGGTGGCCATTGGGAAGAATGTCCCTTCTAGTGGTGGCCATTGGGAAGAATGTCCCTTCTAGTGGTGGCCATTTGGAAGAATGTCCCTTTTAGTGGTGGCCATTGGGAAGAATGTCCCTTCTAGTGGTGGCCCTTGGGAAGAATGTCCCTTTTAGTGGTGGCCATTGGGAAGAATGTCCCTTCTAGTGGTGGCCATTGGGAAGAATGTCCCTTCTAGTGGTGGCCATTGGGAAGAATGTCCCTTAGGTTGGTGGTTATTGGGAAGAATGTCCCTTCTAGTGGTGGCCATTGGGAAGAATGTCCCTTCTAGCGGTGGCTATTGGGAAGAATATCCCTTTTAGTGGTGGCCATTGGGAAGAATGTCCCTTCTAGTGGTGGCCATTGGGAAGAATGTCCCTTCTAGTGGTGGCCATTGGGAAGAATGTCCCTTTTAGTGGTGGCCATTTGGAAGAATGTCCCTTCTAGTGGTGGCCATTGGGAAGAATGTCCCTTCTAGTGGTGGCCCTTGGGAAGAATGTCCCTTCTAGTGGTGGCCCTTGGGAAGAATGTCCCTTCTAGTGGTGGTCATTGGGAAGAATGTCCCTTCTAGTGGTGGCCATTGGGAAGAATGTCCCTTTTAGTGGTGGTCATTGGGAAGAATGTCCCTTCTAGTGGTGGCCATTGGGAAGAATGTCCCTTTTAGCGGTGGTCGGTCATTTGGGAAGAATGTCCCTTATATTGGTGACCAATGGGCAGAATGTCCCTTCTAGTGGAGTTTACTGGGAAGAATATCCCTCAAATTGGTGGCTGATGGGAAGAATGTCCCTTATATTGGTGGCCAATGGGCAGAATGTCCCTTCTAGTGGAGTTTACTGGGAAGAATGTCCCTTATATTGGTGGTCGTTGGGAAGAATGTCCCTTAAATTGGTGGCCATTGGGAAGTGTGTCCCCTCTAGTGGTGGTCATTGGGAAGAATGTCCCTTAATTTGGTGGCCAGTGGGAAGAATGTCCTTTACATTGGTGGACAGTGGGAGGAATGCTTCTCACATTTGTGGTCAGTGGAAAGAATGCCGCTTATATTGGCCGGCAGTGGGAAGAATGTCCCTAATAGTGGGGGGGTTCAGTAGGAAATTCCCTATATTCATGGCCAGTGGAAGGAAGGAACTCTTATAGGCAGCTAAAACATATAATTAGGTTCATGCAGCTGGCTCTGCCATGTGGCGTTGGCCCTGGATCTATGTGGTCACCATCAGATGGGCGGTCAATCGACCTTTAATATCAGTTTAATTTTCATGTTTTTGTTCTAAAATCAATCCAGGTTTATTGTTTTATAATTGTCATATAAATCCTCCAATCATAAGTGATGATAGAAATGAGTGCCGACTGACCAGCACATTCGTATGAGGGAATTCTTTGAGTCCCCGGTCTCTTGGAGAGTCAAACACGACCGGAAAGCGTTTGTGAGGAGCCTCAGTGTAGCCAAACTCCATTTCATCCTACGAGGAAAGAGA